GCCTTTTGACAATGTTCTTAATATTCTGTATGTTTTTTTTTTCTTTCTTAAATTCGAAACATCACCTAAATTCATATATTTGGTGTTATCATTTTTTGTTTATTAATTTTACGTTATTTTAATCCTATTTATTTTAAAGATGTTTTTATTGATATTTTGCCAATGATTTCAATTACTGTCCTCTCATCTAAGCTGAAATTTTCTCTAATGTTAAGTTTCCTTCGTTTAAAAACTTTATATCTTATTACTCTTTGAGGTAAATATTTTATATCTCTGAAATTTAAAAATGATTATCCATATATATACACTCCTCAACTTCCCTTTGTCAAATTGTTTTAAAGTTTGCAATCTCTCGTTTTAGAGACGCTATCTCTTTGCCGTGTTCAGTGACTTTCCTCGGCCAACAAAAGATGTGATCCAAAACTAGTCTGTTGGTGTACTCATCGACATATTTTACCCTGCTCCCTATCTCCACATTTCACAGACATTTTCCGGGGTTTATTCCTCTGTTTCATAGAGCATCCAGTGTCTTTAAGGGATCTCCTACCTAACTATTGACCGTGATCGAACGAACCACAATTATCAACGTAATTTCACCATAAATACAAAATATATATATATATATATATATATATATATATATATATATATATATATATATATATGGCAATATAACATTGGTATATGCGATGATCCTACGATCAAATGTTAAAACTTGTTCACAAAGAGAACACCTTCTAACTAGTAATGGACTGGTCCCTCTTATATAAACGTACTCCAGATACTTTTTGAGAGACTGATCGGTTCAACTCTGTCTCCGGACAGAAGGAACCCGAAGGAGGCTACGCCGAAGGGCGAATCCTTCTGGGGAGATAAACTGGCCCTGAACCCGTTTATACGGGGTTCAAATGGCTATTTTTTTGCTGAGCCTAATGGCTCCGGAAATTAAAAAGGCCTTGTGCCGCATGACACCCTCGTGGGTGGGTGGCTGAATACAGATACTTTCTTGATCAGTTCAACTCTCTGTCTACGGAGAGGAACCCGAAGGAGGTTGCCGAAGGGCGAAGTCTCCTTTGGGGAGGTAAAATATGAACCGTTTATATCAAATATAGCCTAATATATAAAAAAAAATATATATATCTATATATATATATGATCGGTTATATACGCCGAAGGGCGAAGTCTCCTTCGGGGAGGTAAAAATGGGCCCTGAAACCTGTTTATACGGGGTTCAAATGGGCTATTTTTGGCTGAGCCTAATGGCTCGGGAATGCCCACATTAAAAAAGGCCAGCCGCATGACACCCTCGTGGGTGTGGCTAGCATATAAGCTTACCCGGTACATACCGTTGGACTATAGACTTTGGAATTGTTTGTTAAAACCTTCGTTCTACTAATCACTCTATTGTTAATTGCTTTTTATGAATATAAGTATTTTCCTCACAACTGTGTTTGTCTTGATTTTCACAACATCTCAAGAAGTCAATGTATTTATTATAACATAGCATATATGTATTAAGGAGCAAAAAATCTAAAATTACCTCATGTGGGTATAGTCTATTTCAAACTGGCGCAACATATTCATAAAAATACTTTATACTCAGTATGTTTTTTATAAAATTCATCCTTTACTATTGTTAACTCAATACATTTCCAGAGTGCCACTCCAGGTAGATGGTCACTAAATTGTGATGTTATAAAGGTGTGCTGGAAGTGAGCAGGTGTTGCATATTATGAGGTCATGTAGGATAGAAAACGATTGATCGGCGACGATAGTAGAAGTCCGTTCAACATTACAACAGTTTAAGTGGAACTTCCTCCTTATTTATGGAATATAAAGAGACGAGGTACTATGAAGCTGGAATCCCGGCATGTAGTTTACACAAACCCCAGTCATAGATTAACGAGAGGCTAGCAACGTTTCGTCTGCGGGCAAGTGTTGAAGGATGGAAAACAATTTATCATCCACAAGGCCGCGGAACCCTCTTAAAACTCGCGCGAAGATGGAAAGACAAGATTGTGTAGCTCTGGTCCAGATCTGGCATCAATACCATTTTTTTCTAACTCTTGTATACATAAAATAATACAAAAGGAGTAATGTACTTTCTGGTTCGCTACAGGGAATCGACCTTCTTTAAAGCAACCATTTTTGACGGTGGCTCGTATATTCCACTCCCACTAGATTTTAAGTGAGCTCGAGGCCCAATAGACGTTGAAGGCAATGACCCTCATTCAGATCGTGACCATTCATCAAAACTGGAGAAGACTGGTTCTGTTTTGTGATGATGATGAAACATTTCTTGCTTGGTTTTGTAGCTAATGAATGTTTCAAAACAGTCCCACTCCGTTCTGGGTATGAGGATACGTTACATCCGGGTCCTGGGTAAGAAAATAAACTACACCCAACGGCAAGGCTTCTGATTGGGAGGTTTTGAGAAGTGTGGAAACACATCTTAATTGCTGTTGTTCCCAGGTCCACCCTGACCCGGGATCGTAGCACCTATCAGGGTCTCAGCTATGGAGAATAGTTAACCACACAAAAGGGGTCAAGACACTATGAAAGTATAAAAATAGGTGTTAAAAAAAGTTTTTGGAAAATTCTTTACAAGCAATACATTTTTGATAAAAAATATTACCAGCAATAAATGTTAAAAAAATACCGCTAATACATTTTTGAAAAAAAAATGCGAGCAATACATTTAAAAAAAAATATTACCAGAAATACAATTAAAATATATTACCACCAGTACATATTTGAAAAAAAATGCCAGCAATACATTAAAAAAAATATTACCGGCTATACATTTATAAAACAAATATTAGCAGCAATACATTTTGAGAAAAAAAATTACCAGCAATTCATTTAAAAAAAAATATTACCAAAAGTACATTTTTAAAAATTTCAGCAATACATTTTTGAAAAATTATTACCGGCAATACATTTTTCAAAAAATTATTAACACCAATACATTTTTGAAAAAAATTACCAGCAATACATTTTTGAAAAAAAATACCAGCAATAAATTTTTCCAAAATGATATTACCAGCAATATATTTTTGAAAGAAAAGAGCAGCAATACATTTTAAAAATAAATAGTAACAGCAATACATTTTTGAAAAAAAAATTTCCGGCAATAGATTGTTAAAAAAAAAATTTACAAGTAATACACTTTTGAAAATTTCCAGCAATAAAAATCTTGTCGGTATTAAATAACCCAACAAGGTTGATATGCCGTAAAACAAAACAAACCAAACAAAACCAATTCCACTCCCATTGAGCTGTATGAACAATTTCCGAGGAGAGACCTGTTGCCACGTTCTGGTCATCTCGATTTTTTGCTGCTTCTCGCTTAAACCTTGGTATCATCTGCATATATATTTACTAATCATGTGAAAATTTTCTTAGGCAAATCATTAACATATAGCAGAAAAATGCTAAGACCGTTCAGAAAACCTTGGGGAAGCCGCCATTGAATCTCATGGGCGTGTAAGAATTAGCCTTTAACGATGACCTTCATGGACATACCCGATAGGAAGAAGCTTTTTCTTCTATATGCTTTGTTCATTCAGAACATGGGTGAACATGTTTCACCAGAATTTCCTTTGTAAGACTTAACAATATTTGTTTTTACGTTCCTTTCTACTATACGTTCTGTCGTTCATTTACGCAAGCTTGTTCGGTATGTTACTTACAATAAGACATAGAATAATAATAAAATTAGGATTTATAGCATATACAATAAATATATTTAGTATACCATTAAAAACGCTTAAAATGATAAAATTTCATACCACCAAATAAGTTAATGTAAATATTTATCATAAAAATATTATGCCCACATAGTATGTTTATTATAAAATTCATCTTTTACTAATGTTAACTCAATACATGTTCAGAGCGCCACTCCAGGTAGAGCGTTATTAAATTGTGATGTTGCTGGAAGACGATAGTAGAAGCTCGTTCCATTTTGCAACATTTTCCATCGGCTCTTTGTAGCATACCTACGGACAATAATGGGTATGTCCCCCATTCACATAAATGCAGTAGTAAATACTGTATGTTGGTCTGCAGTTGGAGATTCATGTCCAACTGTGCTGGTAAAACTCTCAGAGAGGAAGCCCAGACGGGGCTATGCCGAAGGACAGAGTCTTGTCTTGGGAAACAGATATCCGACCCTATTACACACGGTGTCTACAGTGAATTTTTAGCCGAGCCTACGGGTACGGATAACCCACATTAAATTCGGCCTTGTGCTACATCTGACTGCGTGTGGTGGATGGTATATATCCTGTCGTTGGAGATTCGTCTCCAGCTGTGTTGGTCAAAAACTCTTCCTCCGGGCAGAGAGGATCCCAAGACGAGGCTATGTCGAAAGGCAGAGTCTCGTCTCGGGAAACAGCTACACATCCCCGTTTTATATGGGGTCTACGGGGAATTTTTGGCCGAGCCTACAGACTCGGATACCCTAAATTAAATTCGGCCTTGTGCCACATCGGACATCGAGGGGTGTTTGGTATATATCCTTCAGTTGGTGATTCATTGTGGAATTCACTTGACTCACTTCTAGCAGTTGACTACTGGCGATTCATATATGTGCTGTTCTTGTTCTAAGTATTATCGTTCATTACCAACCTTCGTTTGATTATTCCATTCAGTTACCTTCCCTACGTTAAAACACTTTTCTTGCCTGTACTGTGAGTGGGATATTCTCCAAACCCTTTTCCTCGTCATCTGTCATCGAAATTTCATTTGTCTCTTTCTAATTATAAGTATAAATGTCCATATTCCTCAATCTTCTGTTGTTGTCTTTTAGGGCAAGAAATAAAGACAATGGAGGAATATATTAACAGAAACAGTAATACAAATATGTACAAACGAGAGTGTTACAGCAAGAATCTTCCGTCCGACTGTCAGAGCTGACTGCTGGAAACTTCCCTGTCCAAAAAGAAGTACCTGCTCCTTTATAGCGGAAAGAGTCCATGCGTGCGTGGGTAAATTACCATAGTAGATAGATAGATATATAGATAGATAGATTTGACCAGACAGAGATACTGTTGTGGCCTTTTTAGGGCCAGAAATAAAGACACAAAGGGTGGAATTGAGTTAAACAAATATATTAACAGAAAGAGTGTTACAGCAAGAATGTTCGGTCTGATTATAAGAGCTGACTGTTGGAAACTTCCCTCTCTAAAAGGCAGTACCTGCTCCTATTTATAGCTGGGTAAATTACCATAATAGATAGATAGATAGATAGATAGATAGATAGATAGATAGATACATACATACATACATATTAACAGAAGGAGATAGCTAGATAGATAGATAGATAGAGATAGATAGATGAGAGATGATGAGAGATAGAGTTACAGTTGTAGAAAAAAAGGGCCAGAAATAAAGACACAAGAGGAATTGAGTTAAACAAATTTATTAAAAGAAACAGTAATACAAACGAGAGTGTTGCAGCAAGAATGTTCAGTCCGACTTTCAAAGCTGAATGCTGGAAACTTTCCTCTCCAAAAGGCAGTACCTGCTCCTATTTATAGCTGAGAGTGTCCATGCGTGCGTAGATAAATTACCATAACACTTTCTATCATGAGTTTTGTTAAAACCACATTTATTTTACAATGACGTCTTTCATACAAGTCGGTGATCAGGAACGTGAAGTAGTGATCCAATTCAAATATCTTGACTCGATCATCACTGAAGAGAACTCCAAAATAAAAATGTTCCAAGGGTATCACAAACCGTTGTAAGTGTTGTAAAATAATAAACACCGAGACTGAGACGAGTAATTGCCCAAAATCGAATATCAGGTCGTTGAGTGCATTGCATTTGTAATCTTTCTGTATGCCTGCAAATCTTGGATATGAACAGTGTAATCATAATGATGAATTCAAGCATTAGAAATTTGACTCTTCAGAATGATTTTTTTTTTCTTTCTGACAGTAGATATGATTTCTGTTTCATTTTACCCGCCACTTTCTTTCCTCATACTTGGTTTGGTTTGCTTTGTTTTACAAATCAATAAAAGTTGTCAGGCTATCTGTACTTATTTAATGTCAAAATATGTTTCCGACAAAAGGTTTAATTTGGTTTGGTTTGGTTTGTTTTGTTTTACTCAATGAGTTATATAATGCCGACAAGATTTTTTTTCCCTCAGTAGGTTATTTAATGCCGACAAATATTTTTGCACAAATGTATTACTGATAATTTTTTCAAAAAAGTATTGTTGGTAATATATTGCTTGTAATAATTTTCCTTCAAAAATGTATGTCAGGAAATAATTTTCCTTATAAAAGGTATTGCTGATAATAATTTTTTTTTTCCTCTAAAAGATATTGTTGGTAAGTTTTTCTACACAAATGTATGTCTGGTAATAATTTTTCCTTCATAAAAGTATTGCGGGTAATTTGTTTATTCGAAGTTGTATTTCTGGTAATAATTTTTCCTTCAAATATACATGGCTGGCATTAAAAGCTAATTTTAAACGTTTTTATTTTGACATGAAAAAATAATGATTTGTTGGATTCAGGACCTACGTACATCAATTTTCTTTAAATTAAATGGCTGCAGAAGAATTACCGTTAAACTTTTAAAACGTAAGCTTAAAAATTAATGGATACTTAAATTTATGATCAAAAAACACTTTTAGTTTAATTTGGTCGAATCTGGTTTAAATATTTGAATTCCCAAATCAAGAGTCCTCAGGGTTATTTAATGCCTTAACAAGTATATATATTATATATATATATATATATATATATATATATATATATATATATATATAATCAAATTAATTTTCAAAAAAAATAATTCCATTATTATTTACATTGTTTCGTATTTTCGGATGAACAAGTAATCGTATGTTCATTCCACAAAGTCGTTCATTGCAGATTGACCACGGATCTCGATTGGATTTAAACCAGGAGAGTTTCCGGGCCAGTTGATAGTATTTTTTTTTGTTCACTGGTAAGGATAGTGTGTTCGTACAGCGTTACAACAACAAATGTATGTTCCCTGGTAATAATTTGTCCATCGCAGACAATGGCCGTAGGACAAATAATCTAATCGAGACAATAGTGTCTGGGTGATAAAAATCTTACAATCAGGGATGACGCAATATTTTTAAGACCAAACAAATTTCATTATGGCATGAAAATAGATTTTTAAACGTCCACCTGCTGTTTTGACCTAATCTGAGGAAAAAATAGAAATGATTACATTCATTCAGTACGGAAAACTGGCTGTATTTTGAATGAAAGAAAATAAAAGTGTTTTTTTTAAATTTAAATGGCTGTATATATATATAAGAATTACCGTTAAAATTATAGTATTTAATTATATGAACAGAACGATAGTCTACTAAAAAAATTAATGGATTATTATTGAATCAAAGTTCAATACTAATTTTGAGTTTTGTAGTTTCTCACGATAAGAACGTTGCCTTTGGTTCGAAAACTGTTTTTATTTATCTTATTTATGGGGCAAATATTTTGCCTTTACAACTGTCAATCAAGAGTCAAATAACCATTTCGCTTACATCATTTTGATTATAATATATGCGTCTCTTTACACATATATATATACATATATATATTTATATATATATATATATATATATATATATATATAACCTTGTTCAAATTAATATATGAAGAAAACGAATGAATTCCATTATTATTTCATTTTTTCGTATTTAAAAGGATGAACGTCAATTCCAGCATGTTTAATGTTTGAGCACTTTATTTCCATTCCACAAAGTCGTTCCTGGCACCATGCACCACGGTTTGAAAAAATATTCTCGATATGACTTGATTTAAACCAGAGATTTTCCGGGCCGAAAATATTTCAGGGTTTAAGAATAATTCTTTCTTTTGTTCACTGGTAAGGCGAAGAAGAAAAAGTGTTCGAAAACACAGCGTTACACGCACGGCTGACAGATCGTAAGTTCGAAAAATATGGAGTAAGCATGTCCATCTGGGGAAAATGGCCGTTATTTATCAATTGGTTGAAGAAACGAAGTTTGGGGACAATGAAAATATTGATAAGTAACGGGGAAAGTGTAAAATTTGGATGATAGTAAAAGGGATGGGTGGAGGTATTAAGGATATGAAGGCAAACCATTAATTTCATTATAAATCTGAAAAAAAGCCACACAAGATGATGTCGCTGAAATTTTTTTTTTGAGATAATAAAGATTTTTATTATCGGACCTTCGGCCGGAGGAAAATGAAATATTTTATTTCGTTCATTTCAGCCAACAGGTCTAAAAATCCTTTTCTTATTTTAATATCAATTAGCGATAAAGGGTTGACAAATACCACGTGTTAAAAAGCCGAAGGTGTCATCGCGGTCGCTCATGGTGGGGGCGATTTAGATTAATATTTTTTTTTTTTAAGCAAGGTGTTCCTTTCCTGAAAACAAAACAGAATTGATCCACACCGACTAAAACGAGCTAAATAAGATCACTGACACAGTATTAATTATTAAATCGAAAGTTCATTACGAAAACGGTGAATTTGACACACGAAGGATAAGAACGATACCCGACCAGGACCTCATTGGCCAGAGAGGGGTTTTGATTTATAGGAGAATTATCGACGCCCCTGTCAAATTTGATATGAGAAGCCGATACGAAGAACGGGGGAAGCAGGCAACGCCCCTCAGAGGCAAAGTAATTGAGCTTACATGAATTTGGAAAGGAATGAAAAATATAACCAGAAATAAGAAGGGTGGATACGTATTTAGAATTATCGAAAAACCCCTGGCGCCGACAGATATTTCCCAGTTTTGATGAATAAAAAGCGAAACCCCAACCGATATAAATATTTATATATATTTGATAGCGGATGGTGAAAGAGTTCAGCCGTGGACGACACAGAGATGAGCGATCCGTGTTGAAACCCGCGTCAAGAAAGCTGACCAAGATTCACGCACACTTGGTTCTTCAAACCAAGAACAAGTAGTTTGAAGAGCGACTTAGAATGACAACAGAAATAAGTTTTTTTTCGACTTTCGTCCAAAGACAGACCGAAACACGTTTAATTGGCGCCGCGACCGGGATCGAACGACACAGTCGACGTTGCGACCGGGGGACGACGTCACATTTCTTTAGACTCTGAACTTGGATTCTGGACGATTGCTTTCGCCTCAATTACATGTTCTTAGTTTTTTCTTTTTTTATCCTTTATTTTCCTTGGACATTGGTTTGTTCAATTACAAACCAAAATACCTCAGGTTTTTCCAAACGGGTATATATATATATATAATTTATAAATATATATATATATATATATATATATGTATGTATGTATGTCATTCGTAGACACTACTGTTTCGCTGTATCACTGCTCCTCAGTGCGACTAGACAACCGAATGCCTTAAGCCCGGATCGAACCCCAACCGATTTAGTTTTCAGTTAGAGATTCTACGACTGAGCCATCTTCACTCGACAGAAGGAGTCAGCCAAATCTACCGTATTTTTTCAAAAACATGAACAAACGCCAAGCAGCCAAATTGCACCATTCATTTTACTGAAGAATATATCACATCCGATTCGTAAAAGGCAGTGGGGAAGATGGAGCTACACCGCCAAAGATTGTTCCGCTCAGAATTTAACGTATTATGAACAGACCAGAAAGTCTACCAAAACGTCAATATTTTTCAAGACACCTACACATCAGCCGTGAGCGGAACAATCTTTGGCGGTGTAGCTCCATCTTCCCTACTGTCTTTTAGGAATCTGATGTGATCTGAACCTTGTTTCGTGGAGTTTCTGAATACCCCTTGCTACTTTCCGATAGCAGAAATGAGCGTAACCATTTTCGGTTGCAACATGTGTGAGCGGAACCATTTTTAGCGTGGTAGCTGCAAACCCTTCATTGATTTTGCACTGTAGCCGTGATCGTAAGCCTGTATACGCACACTTAGCTTATAAAGCGAAAGTAATTGGGGCCTTTATTTGATGTGGTAGCTTTATATTCCACCCTGCCTTGACACAGTAACCGTGAGTGAACACTATTTGGTCGGGTCGCTTTACATTCTCCATTACCGTCTCACACCAGCTACATATTCTACATCAATGTTCGTGTTGTATTAAAAGACAGTAGTTTTCTTTTTATACTGTATTTCTGACAGATTATCACTTTCTAATTGCTTTGATGTTTGGCGCAACACAGTCTTCGAACGTTTCCAACAATGTGGAAATATCTATTTAGGACCTAAAATATAGCATTTGCAGAATCACATCGACTGTTTAATTTACTAAGTGGCTTCCTTTA